TGCTGTGATTCATTACGCTCATACAATCTGTTGTAGTTCTTTTATGTGTGACAGAATCATATTAGTACTGAAATTTAACGAGGATATTATTTATCAGTAAAATGCCAGCAGACAATAGAATAGCTTTCTTCTTTAAATGTTTCTCTCTGAAAATCACAATCCAATAAGGAAGTTGATAATCAGTAAAATAATGCATCAGCATTCATTCTACAAAAGCCAGATGTTTGCCCTTTCATTGTCTGTTTCAGGTATTCATATCTAATTAGTTTTAAGGTGAGAATATTGTGAATAGATGAGCATTTTGTTGGAAATTCAGTAAATGTAAAGATTCACCATTAAATAGGCACAATTTTTAAGGAATTTAGTTTCTAAATACGTTGCTTTGCACTTGCTTTTGGTTTTAACAAGTAATTTGTGATTTTTCAAGTTATAATCACATGGCAAAATGAAACTAACAATGGAAATTACAATTTCTGCGGCATATTGCATTAATAGTGAACTTTAGAGTTGTACTGCAAGAAATTTGATGATGGGCATTTGGTAGGACAACACTTGAAAATTGTGGAGAGAGGAGCAGCCAAGGAAAGGGCCCCAAGACAGGCAGTCAGCAATACATAGAGGAGCAGGTGACTGGAAGACCCTGATACAAAAAAAGTACAATCTTCACCCAAAGTATGGAGAGTCTGTGGAATTCTTTGCCACAGAAAGCCATTGAAGCTGAAACATTGAATGTTTTCAAGAAGGAGTTAGATATAGTTCTTGGGGCTAAAGGGAGAAATGGAAACGGTACTGAAAAATCAATTCCCACTCTTCCCGGGTCATCACATTAAGTTACGATTTAATAAAGTAAGTAACATTCCCCAATTTACTGGACTTTCAAATCCAAATTGATCAAAAGCATAAACCAGGTTTCTGTATTGAACAAGAATCAGTATTTATCACAAGTAATTAGACTGCAGTTACAGGTGAACAGTTATAGACTGTCGGCATATAATGCTACTAATCTCCTTATAAACTCCTGGTTATGGACATATAGACAGAAATACTGACAGGATAAGATAGATTATGTACAGGGTGGAATAAACTAGAATGACAGTTTAGTAATCTTTGTTCACTAGGTGGAGGTGATTCTTGTAACCTTTCTACTGGCCAGTGCTCTGCTTCAGATGTCTTTCTCCAAAGGTTTCCATTTCTTGAGGAAAGACACAGGGTGCTGGTTCCTTTATAAAAGCCCTCTGACTTATCAGTTATAAGTCACCACTTCTCACAACAGGTGGAGAAAAGTTAAAACTGGTTTTCTTCAGGTTTACGGTGAGTTTTGAATATCGAGAAAAGGGAAACTGCTCCTGAGACAGGGGAGAACTGAACACTTCCATCCCTCTTTCTAACTTGTTCCCAGCTCCAATCTGAGAATGAGTTACATTTGTTGGGCAAGCAAAATTGTCTCTTTCATAGACAGTCAACTTCTTGTCACCAGCAAAAGCTACACTGGTACACTTCCTTAGCTCCAATCATCTGTAACACAATGTTCAATTACAGCTTATTCAGACAGTTTTTTTTTAAACAATGTCTTGCATAGGTGTCAGGTTATTTATTTTTCAAAGCAGCAGCTAGCCTTTCAAGCACTTTCTTCAAACAGCTCTCTCATTTCAGTCCACAGCTTTTTAGAAACCATAAAATTAAAAGACACGATCCTTACACCACAGACATTAATTTTATTCCATTGGCCATGGAGACTAGCACTGCCAAGAATCTCATTGTTTTGTCCTTTGTTTTCACTAGAATTGTTTTTGAATGTTTCCACTCCACTGTTCAGTTTCTGGGCAAATCAGAATTCATGGACACTCCATCCACATTGTGCTGAAGGCAATGTGCTGGTCAGCATGAGTGTCATATAGATTAAATCATTACGGAGCTTGCAACCAAAGATTACCAAACTGTCTTTCCAAGCTTTCCACCCTGTCCATGACGTGTGTGGAGTGTGAGAGTATGGAGTGTGAAGTGTGGAAGGAGGAGCAAAAAGGGATTACTGTTTTAGTTAGCAGAATTATGCTGACAGTTTATAACTGTTTACCTCTAGATGGATACTAATTACTTACAATAAATAGTGATTCTTTTTCAGAAACTCAGCCTTTGTTTTCTATAAATCTGGGTCTGAACATTAGATGAATTTGGAGGACTTTGCATTTATTTAACTTTTGTGACATATCTGGTAATAGTGGGGCACGATTTCCAGAGTGGTACCCTAGTGAGTTATAACAATGATGATTTTCAAACAGAAAATCATGTTGAAAATCAAGTTTTCATGGCACTGGTTAGATAGATGAGGATGGAGTGAAGATATGGGTTGATATTGTATTTAATAGACATCCCAATTACCTTCTCAAGAAATGCAGCTTATTAGTGTGAAACTCAGATCCCATATAATCAATGAGATCAAGAGGCACCTACATAGTAACACCCAAATTGCAGTTATGAATGAATGATTTATTTATTGTCACATATACCTTGAAGATAATGAAAAGTACTTTGTTGCCACAATCCGGTGCCATTTTGAGTTACAATAAGGACAAAAAGAAATTACTTAAATAAGAGAGCAAACTAACATTTCGAGTCTAGATAATTCTTCATCAGATCTCCACCATTTGTTGTTTTCAGTACAGATTCCAGCACATGCAGTAATTTGTTCTTGCTTAAATAAGAGCTCATCTTCTATTCAAATTTGGTCTCAAGCACAACTTCAGAGCTTCTGCAGGATGTTTCAGTCCTCAAGGAGTCCCGCTCCGGGAACAGCGACGATGATGCTGATGTCGCAAGGAGACCCCAGCTCTGCTGCTGCTACTGCGTCACTAATACCAAGAGTCCAGTCTCCGGGCACCACAACCACTGCCTGGTCCATGCTGCAGCTACCACCCCAGCCTCGAAGATGAAGAAGAAAGGGAGAAGAAAAGGAAAAAAGACAAAATTTTCTTTGGAGAAAATGATGCCACTGGCCTGGAGTGGACAGGCTCAAACAATCCCGGACGCTACCTACTCTACCAGAACAATTTGCATAAAGTTATACCTTGAGGGTCTAATATCTGTAATTCAACCCTTGGTGAGTGCCTCAACAAGCCAATCAAGGATCATGTCAAGATTGGGTTGATGATTGTCAAACAAGAAAAAATCACAAAGAGTGGAAATGTGCATGCTGGCCCACATAATATTTTTCAGGTCTTGCAAGTCACTATTAATACAGAAACTGTTATCTGATCATTCAAAACAAAAATGCAGAATATCCAATTCCAGCAATTGGAGAGAAAAATTATTTGTTCTGGTGTTGATTCTGAAACAAAAAAAAGCAATACATCTGATCCAGGGTAAGATCTTACAATAAGGCCACATTCAAAGTGACTCAAAGTAAAATCGAGGAAATCTTTGCATGGCAAAGACAATAAATTTGACAGTTTTCAAAACATTTTAAATTTGATCAAAATATCCTTGTAGAATTAATTAATTCAATGAAACACAGACGTTAATTTTATTTGACTTATCAGTCTTTTGTCTTTTACATATTTCAAGATGTCAGCTTTGAAACCATGGGGAGGTGATGGCCTGGTGGTCTTACCACTGGGCTGTTAATCCAGAGACCCAGGTGATGTTCTGGGGACCCAGGTTTGAATCCTATCACAGCAGATTGTGGAATTTGGATTCAATAAAAACCTACGACCTTATCTGGTTTGGCCTACATGTGACTCCAGACCAACAGCAATGTGGCTGACTGTTAAATCCCCTGTGGGCAATTAGGGATGGGCAATAAATGTTGACCTATCTCTCATCCTGTGAATGAATAAAAAAAATACTTATCTATACCACCACATTACTGCATGTTTTAATAGCATAAAAGTCTCCACTGGATTGTGCTTTTATCTTGTATAATTCTTTATTCTGATCAGAATAATTAGTGAAAATGATTTGGAATTTGATGTGAAGTTGCATTCAGTGAAAATCAAGTTTTGAAGAACTCATGCAGTAGTTTCTTTTTTAACTAGAAATTGGCTGCACCCACAAAACTGACAAGGTCTTGTAAACTAAGTTAACCCTCAAAGCAGGTTTCTGCCAACTACATTCATTTGAAAGTGTTCGTGTAAATGCTAATGATGAAATTTTTCAGCATAAATACACTAAAGAGCCTTTGAATTTGTTTTTACTTCCTCAATTTTATTTAAAAAAAGAACTAATATACCAGACTATAATTCACAAATGTTTATGCATACCTTTTAAAAGTCGTTAATTTAAAATTAGGTTGCTCATAAATAGAGAAGTGGCACTATGATTGAAATATACAAATTACAACAAATCCATTTTCAGCCATATTAATCAAACTCTAACAATTTAGGTGTCTTAAATATATCAAAATGTATTTTTGTTTCTTTCAAAAGTGAGAAAACTTTGCCTGATGAGTGGCACATTTTTGTAATATGCAAATGAGTAAATATAATCAGGTCAAAAACATTGCAATTTTTGAAACAGTGGTTATTTGCATGTAGATCTTTAATTGAGTCTACAGTTCAAACTCTTTTGGTAGTTTTAAAATAGAGAAACATCTTAAGGCACTTCAAAGATCATAAGAAAACCAAAAAGACATAGAGCCAAAGAAGGTGCATGGATTAATTGTGAAAAGCTTGGTTAAAGAGCTTGACTTTATTCAGACTCTGAACAGGGAGAGAGGAGATAAGGTCAATGGTTTTCAGGGGTAATTACAGGGCACTGAGCCTCATACATTGAAGGTACAGCTACCAATGGAGGAAGCAAGAGGGGATAGAATGTCAGTGGGGAGGTTATAGAGAAGAAAATTCATTTTGGGTTCAAATAGGCTTTGAATAGTCTCATTCTGCCATGACAATGGTTAGGGAGGAGAACGGAACCATGAGTAGGTATGGGATTACAGATGGAAGCTGAAGGTGATAGTTTCTTTTCCAATAATTAGCTGCAGGTTACTCAGGTTCAATCAATAAACAAGCAGTTTGATTGCAACAGAGTTAAGACAGGTGCTGAGAAGGTAGCTCTAAGGGCCATTAGTATACAAGTGAAAGTTGATTCTGTATTTGTGGATTGTTTGGGAGCAATGTAAACATCAGATCCAAGGAAGAACTTCCAAGGTAAGAATGCGAAGGAAAGTGTTTGGCTGAGATATTGACTACATTTAAACTGGCAAAAGTGGAACTGGGTGAAAACAGTCAACAACAATTTGAATTGGTACCATATCTCTACACAGGAAATATGTTGCATATGGGTACATTCAAACAAAAATTTACATGCATTAGGGCAGAAATCTTGGTCAGAGTTGTGGGTTTTGAAATGGGACTTAAAAAGTAACAAAGAAATTTTGAGACAAAGTAGTTTATACAGGGAATTCGAAGTTCATGACACAGCTTGACAACTCTGAGGTACAGGAAGTGGGGATGGACACAAGAAAAGATTTGGAGGACTAAACAATGTAGGAAAGGTTTGTTCAGCCGTACCAAAAGCTCCAAAACAGTGAAGCCTGTTACACTGACACTGTGATCAACGTCATGGTGAATTACTTTGGATTGGGCTGCTTAAGTTTGATCAGAAGAGTGGAAACATAATTAGGAGATTCAGATAGGCCAAGGCAGGAGAAATGAGCAGAGATTGGGAACGTAGCATAACATTGTAGCATGAAAAGATTGGATTGGAGGTGAGCTAACAGTCTGCAAACATAGAGGAAGTTGAAGTTTTTGAGATGAGAATGATGGTGGTGGCTTTGAAAGGGAAACTGACAAAGTCTGAGGTGAGGCAAACATTCGCAATGTCAAAATTGTGAATGACAGAAATTTAATCATTCTGCCTCTTGATTTTACGTTACAACAACCTGTACTGAGGTAAGGAAAAGTCCCTATACATCCATTTATCTCTCTGGAAAGTTTCAAAACAAACTTCTTACAGCCAAATACTGTTGAATTTATTGGGACCTCTTAGCAGAATGCATCAGTGAAGTAAAATAGATAAGTATAAGGAAGTTTTTAACCTGTACGCAAACAGAAACAGTGAAAGAAACTTTGGTCCATAATGTTCAGTGGCACATGAGCTGATACTCTTGTAACTTAATCAATGGGGTTTGGCCGGAATCCTCACTGAGGCACAGTCACTGCTTAAAATGTGGTAGATCTGAGGAAAAACCATCTTGTAATTTCCATGGCTAACTCCTTATAATAATAATGAGTATCTATCCAAGGAAAGCTGCAAAAAACCGTAATTAATTCTTATTGCAAATAATACATAACTAAAAAAATGTTAAGTTTTGAAGAGTTCTTTAAGAAAATAATGAAGTGTTTTGATTAAAGAAATGCATTGCTAAGCTTTATAGTTACATGAAAAAGATAATTTACAACTTTGAAAGAAATAATTTATTGGAGCCATGTTATAATAAAATGTATGTTTCAGATTTTGTTCTGATTATTAACATTTTCTTATGTGAACTGTTAAAATCATCCAGTGGACAGAGCTCTGTGGGTGGCTTGTGCACATTTTATCGGACTGGCTTCAGGGATTTCTGTAACCTGCAGTACTTTCACAGCTTTTCCACTATTTGCTGAAAGCTGAGGTAAGACACTGGCAGACAGTAAGAGCACTTCAAAGTGATTCCAGTGGATGTATGTCTAAAAAGAATGAGAGTCATATTAACAAGTCTCTAAATGTTATTTGAGTGACGACGGTTTATTACCCTGTAATTTTCAAAATTATTTTGGTCTTACTGCAAAGGGGCTGAATTATACAAGGGGCTGAATTCAATCATATTTTGGCAAAGTGTCATTTTTGCGGTGTTTCATGGAGAGCTTGTCTCCACAAGGCCGAGTGAGCTATCCCGAGCGATCATTGTCTTATTACCTATATACTACATGCCTATAGCACCCCTCTCATTGATTCTAATTCTCCCACTCATCATAGCCAGAAGAACTTGTCACTGCCAGGATACATTGGCATATATCAGCATCCCTGGTGTTGTGCATCCAGACGAGCACCGGTTTTCTGCAGCTCACCCTCTCGGGATCGCCAGAGGAGGCCACACCCACCAGCCTGGTCTGAGGACAGCAATTGGTTCTGTGCAGTCTCCACAGTCCAGACGAACATCCAGCAGTGTGGTAATAAGATTGTTTCAGAGATAGTAGGAACTGTAGATGCTGGAGAATAACAAGGTGTAGAGCTGGATGAACACAGCAGGCCAAGCAGCATCAGTGGAGGAGGAAAGCTGACATTTCGGGCCTAGACCCTTCTTCAGAAGATACACCTTGTTATCTCTGGTAATAAGATCACTGACTTTCTCCATGCTGCCAGATTTAGTGCAGCCATCTTTATCTGTGACCGCACACATACACTCTCTCTCTGCTATTGCACACAACTCCCACCAAGGCCCTTGCTCTATCACTCACCATTGCCTGCAATATTATTCCTCACTCAGTCGCACCCATACCCCACCTGTCCACCACCTCCCCCCTCCAACAACAGACACCAACCCTGAATGGCCTCTGCAATGCCCACTCACTTAGGACACCTCAACACTTTCCATCCACCTGCAGTGGCAATAACAGCTTTGCCACCCACAATCCTTCCCTTTGTCATTGCAGCAGAAAGCAGCCCATAACAGGGCCAAAAGGGCCAGGTCAGCATAACATTCTGCTCCCCTTCCCCCAACAACAACCAGAGGATCTTGGTCCTCTCCAGGACTGCACCTGTGCTGATGCAGAAGTATTCATGGCCCGGCATGGCTCCCTGTTGTGCAACTCTCTCATTACCACCATTGTGCATTTATTGTAAGCATGTCACAACTTCCATCTCATTTCTCCTTTGCAGGTAGAAGCAACATGTCCACAATGGCTGCAGTGAAGGGATCCAACCAGGAAGACATGCCCTCTTCCACCTATGAGCATGAATGCCTCAGAGGAAGCGTTCTTCTGCACCCTCACCAGCTCAGTTCCTGGCACCTTGGAATGGCACATCTTGCTAGTTTGGGAGCACAAGCTCATTCTTATAAATGCACAAACTCACTCTTGATAAGTGCACAAACAGACACAGGAACGACAGGCAGATTGTGTTGGAGGCATGAGAGAAACTAACGCAAAGACTGCACCATTGCAGCAATGCCATGGTGACCCTGCTGCTTCAGGAGTATGATAGCCTGTCTGTCATCATGGATGGGTTAGCAGTTGCCATGGACAGCCAGATACAACACTCCGAGTCTGCTGGATACGCAAATTTGTCTGGCCTCTATCACCTAGCCACTGGGTCTCAGCACCAAATACAAAATGACAGGGATGAGGGACACTGAGCTCATTCCAGATCCCCTCCCTCACAAGAAGACAGGGTGGTGCTAGTAGGCACCCACGAAGATACATTCATCATGTCTAGACTCTCTAGACAAAGATGCCACCAGGGTTGCCCGAGCAAACCTCCAAGGTCAATATCTCCTACTGAAGGCCAGGCACTCGCCACCCCAGCTGTGGAGCTTGGGTCTCCATGGAGACATAGTCTGGGGTGTGGGGGGGGTGCAGAGGGAAGAAAGAAGATAACCTTCTGAGGGATCCTAGATGGCACAGTTGACAATTCATTTTAAATAAATTCTCATTTTTGTAAATAGTTATTCTGTTCTCAGCATCATCTGCAAACCTGCAAATGCAACATTGATGGTCATAAACAGAGGAACACAGTAACAAGAGCAGGCCATTCAGCCCCTCCAGCCTGTCCCACCATTCATTGAGATTATGGCTGATCTGTGGTCTAACTCCATATACTTGCCTTTGACTTGTATCTCTTAATGCCTTTGCTTAACAAAAATGTATCTATCTCAGATTTAAAACTAACAACTGATCCAGCATCCACTGCCATTTATGGAAGTGAATTACAAATATTTACCACCCTTGGTGTAGAAGTGATTCCTGACATTTCTTCTGAACGGTCATTAGCTTTTTTGATTATTTTCTACACTTGTTCATGACATTTAAAGGATCTATGTACTTGAACCCCCAAGTCACTTTGGACATCCACTGTATTTAACTTCATACCATCTAGAAAGTTCTCTGGTCTGTTCTTTTTCTGTTCAAAATGGATAACCTCACATTTGCTTACATAAATCCATCTGCGTGCTTTGCACATTCACTCAGTCTTTCAATACCCCTTTGTAATTTTGTACTATCGTCTACACTGTGTAAGATGTTGCCTAACTTTGTGTCATCAGCAAATTTGACATAGTCATATGTCCATTATCTAAATAATTAATAATCTGAATAACTGAGGCCCTAACACAGATCCCTGTGGAACACCACTGGTCACCTCCTGCCAATTTGAGTACCTACCCATTATCCCTACTCTGCCATCTACTACTCAACCAATTTGCAGTCATGTCAGTAATTTGCCCTCAAGTCCACGGGGTTCTACCTCAGTTAACAATCCCTTATGTGGGACTTTATCAAATGTCTTCTGAAAGTTCATGTAAACAACACCCTGTCCACCACCTTAGTCACCTCTTTAAAAAATTCAATGAGGTTTATCAGGTTTAACCTACCTGTCATAAATCCATACTGGCACTCCCTGAATTGCTGAAATGTTACAAGGTGTTCAGTTACCTCATACTTGATTATATACTCCAACAATTATCCCACCACACATGTTTGGCTAACTTATCTGTAATTCCCTGGTTCTCCTCTTTTGTGCTATGTAAAGTTAGAGTGCCATATGCAATTTTTCAATCCAGAGAGGTGACCCCTGTATCTAGGGAACTCTGAAAGATTATAGTTACGGTGTCTACAATGTGTTCCCCTACTTTCTTTAACCCTCCTCAGATGGCAACCATCAAGTCCTGGGGATTTGTTACTCTTTAATTCCATTGATTTCCTTATTACTGATGTTTCACTTAGGTTAATTTTACTCAGTCCCTGTTCACGATCCACTATTAATTTCCTCGGGATTTCGAGCAAGCTATCTCCTCTTCTATTGTAAATACTAAGGCAAAATAATGATTCAACTTGTCTTTCATGTTGGAAGTTCTCAGCATCTAGTTTCTGTCCAGTGCAGCGTAGAATAGAATACTAATGAGGTGGAATTAGGTTGAAATGAGTGTATTAGTGAGAGATAATCCTCATTAACAAGCCTGTTTCCACTCACAAGCAAGAATCTTGTCTCAACATCCAGAACTCTATTGGAAAATTAAACTTGTTACCCCCGATGTCGAGAAAGGTTTTGTTCAACATCTAATGCAAATCTTCCAGATTTCTGCCAGTTCAGCACCTGGGAAGATTCTTCCTGAAGTATTTGTTCAATGATTCTGCCATTTCCTTATTGTCCATCATTATTTCACCTGTTTCTGTCATTAATGGTCCCATATTTACTTTCACTAAACTCTTCCTATCTAAATCTCATAGAAATGTGAAAACAATGTATTTGCAAATACCTTTACTCCACTACCCCATTTATATTCTTATTTTCTAAATATGAAGAAACCTACTTACTTTTCTTACCAACCTTCCAAGGATCTGCATTGAAATTCAAGCACCAGCGCTATGCCATTTCTGCAACTTATTGCATTTTAGTTGAAGAACCTCTGGATCAGCAGTTCATGTGCCTGCATTTAAAAAGAAGGCCACGCTGTAACAACCTTTAGTTCTGAGATTGAAATCAGAAGTCACATTGCATTGTCCGATGACAGCTTCATTTCAGGCTAGGGAGAACATATGGCGGCACCGGGACAAAAATGGTACAAAACAAAGAACATTAAAAAATCAGAAATGAAACAAAACACCATCAACACAACAACAACATCAGTTCACCACAATGGCACCTATTCCTTTCGGTGAGTCTGTCGCAATGCCAGATGCTAGGTATATATTGACATGATTAAGAGTCAGCATTAACAAGTAGAACCAGGTTATACCACAGACCACAAGACCATAAAAAATAGGAACAGGAGTAGGCTGTTTGGATCCTCAAGCCTGCTTCACCATTCAATAGGATCATGGCTGATCTGACATCCCTCATGTCCTCTTTCCTGCGTTTTCTGCATAAACCTCGATTCCCCCACTAATCAAGAATCCATTTATCTGAGACATAGATGTCAACAAGGACTCTGCCTCCACAACTTTCTGTGACAGAAAGACTTGTAACCCTCTGAGAAAAGAAATTTCTCCTCATCTCAGTTTTAAATTGGTAACCCTTTATCTGAGACTATGCCCTCTGGTCCTAGACTCTCCCATGAGTGGAAACATCCTTTCAGCATTTACCCCGTCAAGGTTCTTAAGAACCCTATATATTTCAATGAAATCATTTCTCATTCTTGCTATAAATTGATATCCTTATCCAGTATGATTCTAAACCAGCAGCTAGTAAGGACTACATCCTTCTAACTACTGAAGGCATCATGTTAAAGATAGAGCTCAGTGATCCCACAACTGACCGACACATGTTATTTCAATTATACAAGATTAAGGCAAGATACCAACTGGTTAAACAGAGACAAGTTGAGTTGTGTTATTCAGACTAATTATTACAGTGCCCCTGTCTCAATTGATGTCCCAACGATTTTATTTCATGAATTCCTGTTTTGTGAATGTATGGACAAGGCTGTGGGACTGGAGGAACACCGCAGGTCAGGCACCATCAGAGAAGCAAGAAAGTTGACGTTTTGGGTCGAGACCCTTTTTCAGAGCCTTTCTCTGAAGAAGGGTCCCGACCTGAAATGTCAGCTTTCCTGATCCTTTGATGCTGCCTGACCTGCAGTGTTCCTCCAGTTCCACACTATGTTAACTCCGACTCCAGCATCTGCAGTTCTTGCTATCTCTATGGCCAAGGCTAGTATTTACTGTACATTCCTTATTTGACATTGACCTAATCAGTTAGTTGAGGGATCACTGAGCTCTATCTTTAGCATGATGCCTTCAGTAGTTAGAAGCATGTAGTCCTTTGTTGTAGCTGCAGGTCAGGAATCACATCTAGACCTTATTGGATAAGGATATCAATTAATTAAATGGGGCATTATAATAATCTAGCAGTTGCAAAGTAAACATCACTGATACTAGCTTTTTTTTATCCTAGATTTATATTTTGAATTAAATCTAAATTCTGGTGAAAATTGAGCCTCGACTCAGAATACTTTGTGTAAGCCTCTGACGTACTAATCCAGTCATGTAACCATTCAGTTACCACACCCTGATGATCACGAATAACCAAAATATGTTATCTCAGCCAACGAATGTATGAAAACGCATGAGAGGATGATGATGTCGCTTTGTTTACACAACATCCTCACATTGCTCCTCTGAGCAATCAGTAAAGCTGCTGATCGACATGTCCTGATTTGAGTCATCCTGTATACTTCAAACTGGAGGACCAGTACAACCAACACATTCATTTTCCAGCGGTATTGGACTATTACTGTTTTCTCCTCCGAGTTGTCTAAGTAATGTACTTTACTGCAATTTCTCTTTATATAAGCAATCAATTTTTGCACAATCCATGTACAATTAACAATGAAAATGTTAAAACACTTATTGAAATGTAGGCATCACTGATTTGTCTACTTTCCTACAACCTTAATGTAGTTGTTTTTCCTGATATCATTGCCAATTTTGTTTATGGCTGTTCAATGCAAATGCCAATCCCTCAGTTCATCTAACTAAACTCTGGCCTCCATTTTCTAACGTTATCAGCTGATAAAATGTGTATAGAACTGGAATGAGCCAAACTACTGGAATATCCTCCTTGAGGAAATATTTATCCAATAGCTTGGCTGAAAACCTTAATGGAACCAAAATTCAGTACCATGAAGTGGTGTGCCAGGCAACAAAAGCATGCCTTGATCCTGTGACCACAGAGGTGTGAGACGAGCACCACTAAAGCAACAGCATAGTTTATAATAGGAGACAAGACAATTGCTGTATCTCATAACTATGTACATTTTAATACTTGTCTATGAATCTTATTAAAGCCAGTATCTAGTAAATGAGCTTGATAACCAATGTTATACTGAATAATAGACCAAACAACAATTAAACGACTTCAAAATCCAATATCCTAATCATAGCAAATATCTGGTCTGTGCACTACTGTTGACAAGTTGAGCTTATATTGCTATAGACAGCTTGGGGCTGCTTGGTGCACAGTAGCTACAGAATGCTCCAGTTATGACAGTATCAATACAAGAGGGACCAGAAAGAAGGTCAAGCTTGAGACAAATGAAGATAAAGTGAAACCTTTAAGCAACCATCAAAGAAACTGAGCTATGTCAGACAAGCAGTCACTCAAAACAAACACGGTGAAAAATCTCTGCAATAGATAACAAATATTGTGTCAAGTTCTTATTTTCATTCCCATATGACCTACAATCTGATGAGATTAATATTCAGCTTTTTCTGAAAGGGAAATCCTAAGTGCCCTTTTTGTTATGTTCCCAGCCCAGATGGGAGGGAAATAGGGTTGATTTATTCTGCATTCTCATTTGAGTTATATATTTCACACATATCTCAGATAATTCTATTGAACACATGCTGC